GAAGGAGTGACTTGGCCTAGCGGCCTTCAGAGTCTTTCCTTTGGCGGGGTGTTCAACCAGAGTCTGGAAGGAGTGGCTTTGCCCAACAGCCTTGAAAGTCTTTCCTTTGGCTTTGCGTTCAACCAGTGTCTGGAAGGAGTGGCTTGGCCGAGCGGCCTTCAGAGCATTCAGTTTAAAAGAGGGTTTGGTGCCCTCAAGAGAGTGAATTGGCCAAGCAGCCTTCAGTGTTTGGTGGTTTGGGGCCCGAGATCGGAGGTTGTGGAGATGGATCTTCCTTGGGGTTTGCAAAGGTTTGAATGCAGATTGGACGAGGAGGAGGAGGAGGGCATGCATCAGACATGGATGATCTCCACATCGGAGGATCGAAAGGAAGAGTGACGACAGGAGCTCCCAGTGACGACGATGGACTTTTGGTCCATGGCCCCCCTTTTGCGTGTTGCGCGGCGCGGCGCGTGGTCCAGGGTTGGCGCCGGCGCTCTTCGCTTGGAACCACACGAAGCCGGCGCCAAGTCCGCGCTGGACTGAAAACGAAGAGCGTGACTTGGGACTGGAGTCTTGGAAGAGAGCCATGTTCGGGGGATTGGTGGCACCCGACTCAAATCCAACAGGTTGAACGATCTAATTATTATATACTGTTATATAGATATAACACACACACATATATATATATATATATATTATATATATATTACATATAATCTATATTTTGCAAGGAAACGGCTTGGGGGTCAGAACTTGTCCATCTCTCTGGAAGTTTATAATTCAAAAAACGAGCCCACCATGCGTGGAGTTCATGTCCCCACCATACGTTTACCTCACCTATGTGCCTAATGTAGGCAACTAGCCCCAGACACGTCGTGTTTGGGTATGGACAACCTTTGCTCCCTCCCAAGCCTCGGCCCTCCACGCCCTCCACGCGCTCCACGCGCTCCGCGCTCCGCACAGTGCTGGGGGGGTGGCTTCACCTACGAGAGATGCTGCCTTCAGAGCCCCTTGCTCTCGGCGCCCGAGGCTCGACCGACGTCGCGGGCAAGCCTGGTCGCGGTCTGTTTGGGTTCGCCGGGGCAGGCGATGATTTTAATGGTGAGGATGTGAGTCATCACTGAGCGGGGAGGGGGGGGGGTAGTGGCAGCTGCTTTTGGGCATCCGGGTTGGTGGTTACTGCAGGTTCCACGATGGAAGAAAAGATGAAGGGTGGTCCCATTGGAAGGACACCTACAACCCAAGAGTGTGAGACCTTTCAGTAAAGTTCCTGAGTCTCAACTCAACAAGTCAAGTATACCGCACACAAAACACATACAGTGGATTGAGAGTAGATGGCACAATGACCAAAAGGTGGTTTATATGGATCCCCATTTAAAGGACATCTGGAGGTTTGTGCCATCTACTCTGAAACCACTGTATTTCATCATATGTCAATCTTCTGCTCGCCTCCCTCGTTGTTTGTGTTCGACTTGCAGTCAAACATCCACCCTTGGTTTGTTCCTTCGACCTCAATGCAGAGACCTCGGCCGTCCAAAGCTTCGGCCCGGCAGGTTGAGGCAGTGAGGAAGATGAAGAGCCAGGCCCGCCTGGGAAAAAAGGGAAGCACGAAGACGTGCTTGGGTTTGACGCTTTTAGATGCCCGGGATCTGGAAACCTTGTGAAGGATTTGGATGATGGGCCATCATGGGGGTTCAACAGTTTATCCTGGGAGTCCAGTCGGCTGATGAAAACATGGGAGTTCAGTCGGTGACCTTGATTTACTGGCATCTCCTGAACACAGTTAGAGTGGCCGTTCAGGTCTACAAGGTAACAGGTAGAGTTGATTTGCACGAATCAGAAAGGGACAGATGGCCGATTAAGAACTACATACCAGCAGTCACAAAGGGGTGCGATCCATGGAGGTTAGGGATGCCCAAAACATTCACTCACTGGATGGGACTCAAAACCACCCAACTCCATGTGACTCCTGGTACATTTCCTAGGTCCGGGACACCCGAAGGACACCCGAAGGACACCCGAAAGGGTCTATGTTTCTTCTATGTCCCGGAGCATTCGGCACTTTTCGTCAGCCGGCAGGGACTGAGCATTCGGCCACGCTGAAACTGCTGGGTGTGGCCGTGTAACACCAAACACGTGGAACATCGAGAGACCTTGCCATGTGTGTGACGGCCCGGCACACACGGCCGGTGTCTCTCGAGGTTCAACGTCTCCGGTCGTCTCGGTCTTCCCAACGAATCGGTTGGACCGAATCGGGTGGACCGAATGCACCGGGGGTGGAGGGTGGAGGGACGAGGGGCCAACGGATGGTTTCGGGTTTCGACGAGGGTGGTCAGAAAGGTGTGGATGAACGGATCTTTTTTTTTTTGAGTCAGAAGCGTGCCGTTTTTAGAAGGCTGACAGTGCCGGTGGACGGGGCTCCACAAGAGAGGTCACTGAATGTGCGTTCAGATGATTTCTTGTTTCTGTTTTTTTACATGTACCCTTCTTTTTCTTTTTACTTTTTTCATTCAACAAGCAGAAACAAACAGGTCAACAAAAACACAAACGTCGGAAGATGTGGATAGACGTGCGACCAAGATGTTGCACTGATTTTCCATCACCAGCAAGTGCAAGTTGGCCAAGAATTGGAGACGATTTCCCTCTGGATATCATGCCATGCTGCCATACCATGTCCCACATGGCAGGAGTTCTTGACCATGGGTTTTCCACCAAACCATTGGATGTGTTCGAGCGGTCCTTGAGTGGTTGATGGGGCGGGTATTGTAGCGAGTCCAGGCGCTGAACTGCGGCTGTGGCAAGCCGGTGGCCCATCTGGGGAAGTGCGGTTGATGGTTCCAATGGTAGAGATCGGCATAGACGGCATGATAAACTGAAAAAGAAGTAATTCTTATCCCTTTTCCTCAATCATGACCAACATCATCGAAGTATTTTTCAGCACTTTATTCAATTACCTGTGGGAACCCATGGGAACATTTTTCACTGGACTGGAACACTATAACTATAGACGTGGCACGTTTCCATTGGATGAGTGCGCATGGCGATGTGGGGCAGGGAATTGGAATCGTGATTCCTTTACACAAGAAGGCATGGTTGAGGACACTCTGTGCCCAGACACAAGGCAATACTGTAGGATCGCAAAACACAATGTGTTAGTTAGACTAGAATGTCCAAGAGAATCCCAGAGGAGACCTTTGGGGTTTTAATTGGTTGGGTCCAACCTCTTTTGGGATGTCTAGGTTGGGATGTTAGAAGGACAAGAAGTCAGCTGGATGTTTTGTGGGATGCCTTTCAATGGGGTTTTGCACTGGCTCGTTTCCACTGACTGCGCGGCAGTTCTGATCCAACCCACAGTTTCAGTGGTGAGGACGGGAGGACGGAAGGACAAAAGCCACGGAAGGCTCCAGCAGTTTGAATTCGCTTGACCGAGTCGAACATGGAGGGGTCTGGGGTGGACCCAATCCTTAGGTTTTGAGGGACGGGTAGGGCTCTTTTCACGGAGCTTCTGGGAGAGAGCTTGGTAAACTCAAACTAGGATAGCTGTTGGTCTTTCAGGGGCATGGCATGCTGTTCTTCTCGATTCAGCAGACTCGTTCTGCCAGATTCAGCCGGGGCCGGGGCGAAGGTCACGGAGTGAGCTCCGTTGGCGTCCGAGGACTTGAGCCACCCGGCCTTCAAGGGCGGCCGCTTCACCTGGTGCCGCTTGGTGCAGAACACGGCACGGTCGCACCGGCTCTGGCTCTGGCCAAAGAGATAGAGTTTCTTGTCATCACTCGATATCATCAATCTATTGTTCGACCCTCTTGAAAGGGTACCTTTTTTGATGGAGTCCTAATGATTTCCGACAATGCTTGCAAATTGCAAGTAAGCAGTAACACAGGCAATTTAGTAAACAGCAAGACATAATAATGTGTAAGAGGGTCCAAAAACAGAGTGATTCTATGTGATTGTACAGTATACATGTTTCTTTTGTTTCATTCATCCAATGCATGCTGCGTTCATGTCTAAGTCTGGATCATGCACATAGTTTCTGTACACAATCGCTCTACATTTCGATCAGCCTTGAAAGTGTACATTTTCATTTGGTCCCCAAAATGTGGCCCAAGATACACATTTGCAGGCATTGTTGGATATAAGTTGGTCCCCCGAAAACTGTGCAGTTTCCACGGCATTGGAAACATAGAGTGATCATGTACAATAAACGATACAATTGCAACCAGCTGATGCGTATGATGCAAGAATGATATGTACATATATATATATATACTGTAGATATGAAGACATAGACTGTTGAGCGGGGTCGTTTGTTCGCCTTTCATGGGCCTGGTGGATGCAAATGATACGACGGTGAGAGATTTGTCAAACATAGATGATATGTGACAACCATGTACTGTATTTTTCCATGTTTTCTACATCCCCCACTCCTTTCCCAGACGCAGCTTATGATGCAGAATATACAATATCGATCCCAAACCCAAATGCCCCCCTAGCTAAAGCTATATAGCGGACACGACCCAACACAGTCACAATCACGCCCCCTGGCACCTTCGGTGCGGGCGGATATTTTTGGGACTGCTTCTTTGGGAACTCAAGTGCAAACGGCATGAAGCCACTCTTTTCAAAGGTTGTTTCGAGGACTTCAGCAACACAGCTTCACTGCAATATTGCCACATTGCAGATGATGTTATTTTCACTTGAGGTAATTCGGATGTCGCGCGTCGTGGGCGCCCCAGAAGCGCAGTACGTTCGCTCAGCTCGCTCGTGGAGCTGTGGAAGGCTTGCTCGCCTGCTGTATCCCGGCTGCGCGCAAGTGGATCACCGGCCGGTTGACCATGTCCCAATGCAGCGTGCATGTGCCAGATCGTGTGGTAAATCAGGTCCGAGATCATCGGCAGCGCACAAAATCGTCAGATCGCGCTCGGAGGAGCAGATGGAATTTGTCATGTTTGAGCCCACGGTGGTGTGTCTGTGGAATGGATGCGTCAAACAAGCAGGAGGCTGCGCCCTTCCTTGCTTGAAGCTTGTCATTTGACGTGACGTTTATGCAGTGTGAACCGGTCAGTGTTTGCTTGCAGTGGTGGGGCCTATCTGGCACCTGAGTATAGAGGTGTGAAAAGGGATGCTCGCAGGAGTGAGTAGGCCGTTGCTGTTGGGCGTGGTCACCGCCGTTGAACTTTTCCAAGTCCCAGTGACCAATCACATCCAATAAGACCTGCGCGCAGGGTGGCACCATCCGCGCGCATCGTCACAGCGTTTGATGCGTTGTCCGATCCCTCGAGTGGAGCGGGGTCCGTGGCGGGCGGCGGGGCCGTCGGGCCCGTGGCGGGCCCGTTGCGCCCGTGGCACACGCGTATACATGACCTTTCTTGGATGCTTATATAGAGATTTACATATACAGTGATAGAATTTGGCACAGACCTGTGGTCGGTTCCCTCCAAACATTGGTCTCTTCTCAGGTAGTCGAATTCTGCTCCTTCAGGGAAAGTCAAGGAGTTGAGGGGTCATCCCATCCATACCCCATTACTGGCGGGCAGGTCTGCTAAAGGAATGATTCCTTAAAACACTACCCTAAAGTCAGTTGGAGGAGAAGCTCGCTTTGTACGGCTGACTTTGGGCAGGCAAGGGTGCGCAGGCCATTTTTTTGGTCAAACAGTCAAACATATGCAAATATCATTGAACCTCATCAGAAAACACAATTAAACCACTTTGGTAGTAAATACTACCCATCATATAACCCTCTGAACCTTGGTTCCTTCTTCCCAAGAGCGGGCTTCCGTCTGGATCGGCGATTCAGTGGAAGGCGTCGTAGGCACTGGGCGTAGCGCAGCGTATTGGTGTTTTGCGTTCTGGTGCGTTTTCGAGGCAAGTTCTACCAATCCATCATGCTCAACCAGGCGCGCTCCAGCGACTGGGTCGACCTGGTTGGTTGGAGCACCGATGCTTCCACGCAAGAATGAGGATGCCCTGAGAGTCCTTAAATGACCTGAAGTGACTCATTGTGTTTCCGTAGGGTAGTGGCAGATTATGACTTTCATGCGCGGGGCCGGCAGATCCCCTCTGAAACGTGAGTAGCCAGTGCTGTATGGGGGCCACTCCGGACGAGGATGGTGGTGGCATGCAAGGGCAAGTTCCAAGGGTTGGTGTGTTCCAGATCTGAAGGAAGTGTGTACGGTTGAGTTCACCAACCCAGACACATCTGAAGTTGCTGAGATGGTTCTGATCCTGATCAGCCAAAGATCAACTGAGATCAGGTCCATTGAAGATGCCCTGCGACTTGTCCCAGGGGCACCTGGACTTCAGGAGGCCATCAATGAGAAGAAGAAGAAGTATCTGGAGGACTTGAAGCAGCAGCTGGATCGAGTCCGCAAAGGTGTGGTCACCTCAAATCGTCAGGAGCGAGACAAAGTCCATGGCAAGCGTTTTGCTTACCAGAAGGAGCGTGGCCGCAAGAGAGCTGCTCGGCATAGGCTTGCTGAAGCAAGGCAGGGACACGATGGTGGCCTGTCTGCCATCCAACAGATCTTTGTTGATCAACGTTTGCGAGAACCATGAGCAGATGTTCATTGAGGGACGCGCCACAGGATTGCCTTTGAGGCAACGGCAACATCCATAGGACCAGACAGCAAAGGCCAGTTAAAAACGGCCAAGCTGAAGCTGAAGGAGTACCCTCTTGACCTATGCAGAACTCTTGCGGAAATCATGGTGGAATTGCAACGATCACAGGGCCGTGAGCTAGAGCTCCCAGAACACTTTTTGAAGAAGGTCAATGAGCTCCTTGCGCCAGCTAAAGACCGGATGTAGGGGGAGGAGGAGATTGTTTGGTTCGGAATGTGGTGCCTGAGAGGCCTGCCACGGGCAAATTGTCCACAGCCAAACAGAAAGAAAACACATACACAGCCGAACACAAAGGGCTGGAACAGCGAGACGCCTTTCCAAGTGGTGGTGCCATTGGGATTTGAGTCAAGGGTTCCGTTGGGGGATATAGCTGTGCCTGAAGCGATGATGACCCTTCTGCCATGAAAACTTGCTGATGCTTTGCGAGGTTTTCTCCGGTGCTGAAGACATCTTGATTTGGAGGTGGACTTGTCATCAATCCTCAAGTCATGTTCCAGTATGTTCCAGTATCCCGATGAAAAACTTTCATCAAGACCACCTGCAAGTCGATTCGGGAAGCTCTGGCCGCTGCTTCGTGAAGGGGATCGCTGTTCCCGCCTGTTGTTTGTCCCAGTCGACGCTTTAGGTCAACAGTCGAGGTGGGGAGATGGACTGAAGTTCTCTGAGACGAAGCATCCCTGTGGCGATGAAGAGCTCTGATCGGTGAGTCCCGTCCCGTCCATAGCGTCCATCCGCGTCGTGGCTTCGAGAAATCCCATCCGTTGCGCTTCGTGGTGATTTCGTTCGGCCAGCGCGGAGACCTGGGCGTTCCTTCAAAGGCCCGGTTGAACCGAACGCTTCGGTTCCAGAGACCTCCGGAGACCGGCGGCCCGTCCAGGACTCGTTTTGGTCCAACACACTGATACACTCCGTCGATGGGGTGGTGTGGCAGGGGCACCACGCAGGGGTGGCCGGGAAGGTCTCCAGACAGTGCCTGCACTCCTCAGGTCCTCATGCACCCCTTGTTTAGGAGAAGTCTGAAAGTGGTTCAAATGGGGAGTGGGTCAAAGGTTCAGTAGTTTCAGTATGAATAGTCTAAAGCAGAACAAAACCGGTCGGGTGGGTTGGGTCTCTACAGTCCAACCTGCGGTGCCGGAACCGGAAGAGTCAACAGAGTCTGGCCAGAACAGTCCAACCCATGGGGTTTCATGAAAAGAACCGTCCAAATGTGAAGATCTCCCCATCCCCAAGCGGGTTTGGAGGGCAGACGTTCGGCGCCTTCCGCAGGACTTGCGGCCCTTCTACATGCCCTTCCTGGAGTTATCGGTCGAGCAGCTGGCGGAATGCCCTTTGGGTAGCCTCGCGATGGTCCTGATGGACACATCGTTGAAGGTCGCCAATGCGAAGGTGGGAGACTCGGGTCAGTCCTGGTTCCTTTGCCCAAGCCTTGCGGGGCAGGGTAGTGAGGCCTGCCAGTCGTGAATCTGTGTGTATAAATCCCCCGGTTTTAAAGCACAACGTCCGATTCTTTTTGGAGTGTCTTTGCGAAGGAATCGATGGCCAGCACAGGCTCTCTTGCATAGGGTGTCCAGTTTGTGCCCTCACAGAATACATGTCTTCCCTGCAAGCCTAAACCCTGGAAATTTGTAGGGTCTGAATTCATACCTCGGGTATTCGTGAGTTCACAGGCAAACATCGGGTTCTCGTGGGAAACCCAGGGTTTGGACCCAAGCCATTCCCCAAACACCTTCTCGATAGGCGCCCCTTCAGTAAAACTGTATGCCGAGGTGTCTGAATGTGTGAATCCCAGACACCCATGCATGGAATGTCTGCCTACATTGACCCCAGGTCAACCACCCCAACTGATCGGTAAATATGCCACACATCGAACGTCTGAGACAATCACGGCTTCCCAAAGTTTTGCACAGATGACTTAGCCCCCGGACATGCTCCACAGATGAGTTGGGCATTTTGGCCTCATCAGAAAGGGGGCCTTCAACACCGCTCGTCTCGTCTTCCTCCACCGGACAGTGCCTTGTTTCCTCCACCACCGGCGTCGGCCAGCGCTCGTGCCGTGTGGAGCTGGGCGGGGTGGGAGCGCTGAACGCCCCGGTGGCCGGAGCAGCCACCGGTCGCCGGGTGGATCTCCCGTCACCCTTGGACACCTCACAGGATCCGATTGGGCCACGAATTTTCATTCGGGTGATTGATTGGGCAAGATTAAGAAGGATTGGGATTGCCCAAATGTCTGCCTGACTGGGCAGGGTTTATATGGATGAAACAGGCAGAAATTGGGCATTTCGTTGGAAGATCTGGGGATGACTTGATGGTTCTTTCTTCGAAGTTTCGATGGCCTTTCGCCATCGGCCTTCAGCGTGAGTCAGGGCGCTCCGCCCAAGCTCACCGAGATGCCCAGCTTTTTGAGGCGCCGAGACCGTCGCGTCGCTCGTTCGGGAGAAGTCCCTGCCCCCGAGCGACGCCGCGAGTCCTGAGCATCGGGAGCATCCAATGGGACAGACTGGTCCGTTTGGTCGGAACATGGGGGTACACTCTCTGGAACTAAGATGGAAGTGGAGTTCACCACCTGTTTGTGGTGGCTTTCATGGTCTTCCGAACTCGGGGCCAGGCCATCCACGTAACCATGGGGCCGTTCCAGGAAGTGTATGTATAGGCTCGGTGACTCGTGACAGGTTTCTTTGATGGGACAAAGAAGAATGACTTGGGGTCAATGACCATCTATTCCAGTGCCATGGATGATTTGGGCCTGTTCAGACTCCGGCGTCACTTCGTAGACCAAGGGAGGAGCTTAAGGTCTTGGAAAATGGTTTCAGGTGGGCGATGGTGAGGTCCTTGGGGATGGTGTCAGAGACATCAGGCTGATTTTGACCACCAAACTTGCCTCGGCTCACAGATTTTTTCCGGGTTGGAGCAACGAGTAACTAGTGGTGAACTACACTTCTCGATGAACCTAGCTGTGAGCCAACTAGGGTATGAACCCAAGTGCATGTTACATGTTATGTTTTTTTGTTGGATCTGCAGTATGAGCGTTGGGCGCCCCTATTCCCGGTGTATTTGACACAATCAATCGTTGACACACCCAATGAGTTTGGGGCGACTTTCCTTCCGGTCCAGAATTTCATACGCAATATGGATATCCACTACCAGAAGAGACCTGTTATCGGCGGGTGCTGGTCGAGGGTGCTGGTTTGGGGTGACTTTCCGATGTCTTGCAGGGTCCAGACATTGCAAGATTCAAGAACGAAGGGAACCTTCAGGTCCAGACCCTTTGATTCAAGAACGAAGGGAACCTTCAGGTCCAGACCCTTTGATTCAAGAACGAAGGGAACCTTTCACAAAGTTGAGATGGAACATTTGCCACTGGACCCAGGGATTTGGATAGCCCCTTTGCATCCCAAGCGCGCCTGGGAAGAGTCGACGCTCTGCAAACAAATCGTGGGTCCGTCCGGTCTCAAAGGGTCAAAGGTCTGGGGGTTTACTTTGGGGTCCATCCATTGTTCCCCCCATTTTTGGGGCAGTCAATGACTTGACCATTTGATATTGAAAGGTATCAAATGGTATCAATCATCAGCATACATAAACATTTTTCATATAGGACAAGATAGGAATTGAATTAAATTTGTGATATTTATCTACTCTAGGTTCGACTTCTCATTTTCGGAATGACTTCTCATCTATGCCTTGTAGATGAGGTTGCGCTCGCCTCGCATTTCCGTCGCTGGGCGTCTCTCGCAGGGCGAGAGAGATGCTGCAGATGATCTTGGGCATGGGCCTCTCTTTGAAGCTCGGGCGAAGATGCTTTCACCGGCCGCCACGGCATGGCACGGCCGAAGAACCACGTCAGGAGGTCTCTGCGTTTGACTGCCTTGATTCCATATGCCCTCACGTCCTTGGTTGGTTGATTAGACAGCAAATCCAGGTGTTGAGTTGGTTTATTGATGAATTGGGGGAAAATGGTACCTGGGACCAGACCCTTCTGTTACTCCGTTACTCCCAAAGGACCACCAAACAGTACAGGGTGTCTTATGGTGTCCGGTGTTTGGTGTTCGGTACCTGGATCTGCAGTTTCATACGCTTTTGAGACATGTCCAAGTCATGATGGTTTGGGACATGACACATATAGATGGTTCTGGAAAGATGGTCGAGATGGTTTTGGAACGGGTTCTCCCTGCCAAAACACACCCAGCTAAAGGTTCTTGGTGACCACTGTCCCACTTTTTCAAGAACCAGATGAATGGGACGGAACACATACATGGCTCCGCCCCAACGGTTGGGGGGTGTCCGGGTCGGTCATGGTCTCCAAACCGCGCATGGCGATCGTGGCATTGATTCTAGTCTTACCCAGACCGTTCATGTATATATAACTATATATATATGGAATATCTACCTATATTACGAAAGCCAGCCTTCGTAGAAGGCGCTAGCAGAGTTGTGTCTGGCGAACGAAGTGAGTAGTTAGGGGGTCTGGGGGGGTGGCCCGAGAAAGGGACACGTCAACTCAGCACATGCTGGGGCAGGAGGGTGCTCCGAGGGAAGGTTTTTTGAGGTTGTGTTGGAGGTGATTTTTGAGGGGTGGTGATGCAAGAAATGCCAAATGCATCATTTGCATCATCTGAATGGAAAGGTGTAGTTGGCACCTTGCAAGGTAGAGAGACCTAGGGTAGCTATAGTGCAGCTACCAGGTATAGTACTTCAAGTTCCCTTTCCGTCAACCGCTTGAGAACCTCTACACACGCACAGCAAGCCACAGCCTTGAAGTCTCATTCGTGCTTTGAACTTGTATAGGTGTGTAAGAGGTACAGCAACATACTACCTGAGAAGCTGCAAAACGAAAGCCAGCGCTTCCCTTTCTCGAGAACTGCGCGTCGAAGCATAGGATAGAAAGGTAGGTCTGCACCCTAGATCCACCATCCCACTCCATTTTCTTTCATTTCTCTACGGCAGCTCCGCTTGGCATTTGCCAGGTGGAGGCGGCCGTGAGACCTCTTACACACCTACACAAGTTCAAAGCACGAATGAGACTTCAAAGCTGTGGATTGCTGTGCGTGTGTAGAGGCTATCGAGCGGTTGACGGAAAGGGAGCTTGAAGTACTATACCTGGTAGCTGCAAGCAAGGTGCCAACTACACCTTTCTTTTCAAGGTGGCCTGAACAGAGTGTTTCAGGGCAGTAAACCGTGGTCTCAGGCCACCTTGAATTTAGCTTGAAAACCACAGCTACATAGCTACCCTGGGTCTCTATACCTGGCAAGGTGCCAACTACACCTTTATTTTCAAGGTGGCCTGCGCAGAGTGTTTTAGGGCAGCAAACCCTGGTCTCAGGCCACCTTGACTTTAGCTTCAAAACCACAGCTTTGAAGCCTCATGCGCGCCATACCTGGGAACAGAATTGTAGCTACAAGACCTTTATTTTCAAGGTGGCCTGAACAGAGTGTTTTAGGGCAGCAAACCGTGGTCTCAGGCCACCTTGAATTTAGCTTGAAAACCACAGCTACATAGCTACCCTGGGCGTCTATACCTGGCAAGGTGCCAACTACACCTTTATTTTCAATGTGGCCTGAACAGAGTGCTTTAGGGCAGCAAGCCCTGGTCTCAGGCCACCTTGACTTTAGCTTGAAAACCACAGCTTTGAAGCCTCATGCGCGCCATACCAGAACTGTAGCTACTTGTAGCTACCCTGGGTCCGTATAAATAGGGTTTGCTGCCCTAAAACACTCTGTTCAGGCCACATTGAAAATAAAGGTGTAGTTGGCACCTTGCCAGGTATAGACGCCCAGGGTAGCTATGTAGCTGTGGTTTTCAAGCTAAATTCAAGGTGGCCTGAGACCACGGTTTGCTGCCCTAAAACACTCTGTTCAGGCCACCTTGAAAATAAAGGTCTTGTAGCTACAATTCTGTTCCCAGGTATGGCGCGCATGAGGCTTCAAAGCTGTGGTTTTGAAGCTAAAGTCAAGGTGGCCTGAGACCAGGGTTTGCTGCCCTAAAACACTCTGTGCAGGCCACCTTGAAAATAAAGGTGTAGTTGGCACCTTGCCAGGTATAGAGACCCAGGGTAGCTATGTAGCTGTGGTTTTCAAGCTAAATTCAAGGTGGCCTGAGACCACGGTTTACTGCCCTGAAACACTCTGTTCAGGCCACCTTGAAAAGAAAGGTGTAGTTGGCACCTTGCTTGCAGCTACCAGGTATAGTACTTCAAGTTCCCTTTCCGTCAACCGCTCGATAGCCTCTACACACGCACAGCAACAGCTTTGAAGTCTCATTCGTGATGTATCATATATACATATGGAATATTTACCTGCATGATCCTACATTGACCACCCTTTTTCAACCACCTCAATGTAGGCAACTATGCCAGTCCCGGTCTGGGGAGAGGATTGGCTTCGGTGCCCTCGGCGGCTTCGGCCGGGAATTCCTGGAGCTCCTCAGGGTTGATGTGACCACCTCTGGCTGGATGCTCTTCAATCAGGCGGGAGGGGGGGCGCTCTGAGTGGTTGCTGGCTGGACTTCAAGGTTTATAAAAACCATCTAACAGGCAGACATTTTGCACAGTTGAAAGATCCAGGTATGACATATCCTTCAACTTCAGGAACATAGAGATTGCTAGAGCTGCTGAGCTACATAGACTCAGACCCCACCGGGGCAAACCACATGTTTCACACTGCAGCCATTTCAGTCTGCTCTTCCCCCCCCACACACACAGAGACAAAGAACAGAGAGACATAAAGAGATAGAACGTCCTTTCTTCGTTGTCGATTTTATCATCTTAATCACTGGTCATTTATAAGGGCGTCCACTGATTTTCTTGCTATTGCGCCGAGTCGCTGCTCCTAGCCAGTAGGTGTCTCTAATTTTCCCAGACCATCCATGGGACTGGACTAGCAAAACGTAAATTTATAGACCCGCATTTTCATCATGTGCGACCCCATCCATGGCTTCACTCTTCCCATTCCTTTGATCTGATCTGGCATGATCTGGCTATTTGGTCCCATCATCTCCCACGGTCTCCGCGGCCTCCGCGCTCTGTGTTTCTCCAGGTCAGCGCCCTCCGCGGCATCCTCCTCCGCCGCGGCGGACTGGAAGCGCCCAGCGAGGGCGCTGCGGCGTGCCTGCAGACGCCCGCAACGGAGACTTTACCGGGAAGGCGCGACGAGGTGATGGACTCGGTGATGGACTCGGTGATGGACTCTCAGGTTGACTGCGGTTCGAACTGGGCCGGGTTGGACTGGGCTGGTTTTGGGGTTTGGAAAGACGTAGAATATGATCATACCTCATGTATATGTTTTTTTTGGGGAGAAGACATCACCAGGTAACTAGGCTTTTTGATGCTCGTTCGTTTGGTTGTTGTGTCGGGGCGAGATGTATGTAAACACTCTTGGGTCATGCTCTTTTGGGTGACGTGCAAGAATCAGTTGAGAACTTGAGGATCAACTATTCCTTCATGTTCGAATCCCGCTGCATACTCCGCATGACTGAACCTTGTACTGAATAGGCTGAACCAAAACCTGGAGGCCTCGCCGCCAGCTTGGCAGCTTCTTTGGGGGTTTGGTGCACCTGGGGGTGGCGGGGCATGTGCAGAACCTGCAGCTCACCTGACTGCAGGATGCTGCAGACCATGATGGACGGGGCCAACTTTGTCCCTGTAGGCCTGTCCCTGGAGGACCTGACGGGCTGAACCTCTCGGTCAAGTCCGGATGAACTGCGTAACTCTCCGGAAGAGTGGCGGCCTTTGTGTGGCGGCCTTGGCTGCCTACATTGACCCCTGAAATCAATCAGCCATCCCAATGTAAAGAATGTAGACTCTTGATTAATGCACCCAGCCATTTGAATTGAACATCCTCATATCTGGGGGGGTGTATGGTCCTCAAGAGTCTACATTAGGTCATAGCTACATTGGGAGGTTTGGGCTGTCTACAAATGAACGTGGTCTGGTTATATGGCTCGACACTAGCACGACGGAAGATGATTCCTCCTCTGCCGATATTTCTGGTGATCCAAAGAGACGCACCTGACCTGTTTGGGGCCCTTTGGGTATGACCGGGGTATTTGGTATTTATATAATTGCACTTTATTCTCTACAGTTGGAGACAGGGCCAAGGATGTAAGATGGAACCCAGTGTGAGTTTGCTGGGGATGGTGCTTGTACCCTCTTGTGAAATCTTCAGCTTGCGGAGCAAAGACGTTGGAAGACGCCAGCGATTTCCATTTTTTTCACGGACACTGACTCAGTGAGTCAAGCTTTTTACTCCGAACTCCAAGCGAGAAAGACCTGGCCGTGCGGAACCCAGCCTCCCCCGTTGATCGGTTCAGAACCGACCCCTGGGGATCAACGGGGGTTCCCACCGAATGGTGCCCGATGGTGCCGCCCCATTCCTCTGCCGCCTCGTCTTGCCTCGAGACGACAGACCCGCAGGCACCAAGGCCTTGCTCCAGCTTCTCCAAGCGCCGCCCCCGGGCCCCGCCTGTCGTGTCACGGTGCCTGCCATGCAGATGCCCCACGGCTGCATTAGCACGGCGCGAACCGGGCCGGGGGCTTTGTGCCGGTGCGAATCGTGTAGGAGTTTGGGTCGTTTGCTTTTGAGGATAATTACTATAGCAGCTAGTCTGAGTCTGATGAGCCAACATGAACATGTGGATAACGCTGCTATACAAATGTTTCGTGGTGTTTTTTTGCGAGGACCTATATCGGGCTTTATAACTTTTGTTCCAAAGGATTGACTTGACAAAGACAGCCTGAGCCACCAACTATACATCAACAACTTCTTCAACTCCTGGCAGAGTCCAGGTTCTTCTTGGTAGGAGTTTGTGTCCAGCCTATCTTACGTAGTTACAACAATAAGTACCTCTTCTTTTTCTATAAGGTCCGGTGCGAGAAGAACACAACCTGTCTGGGACTCGCAGGCATTGATGTACCTACGTTGGGGTGGTTGAAAAGGGCTCCATACATGCCTGACCCAGGTCTGACCCAGGTCCAGTCTCCTTGAAAAGGCCCACCGGATTTGTTCGTCACGTGCTGACCTGTATGATCAACTGACCTGTAACAATGAGGTCCAACTGACCCGTAGGTCTTCTCAACGTAATGGCAGGAGCCAAGTGGCTTGGTCACGAATGATGGGTGATTGGGGTTGTTCTCAGCATATGGCTTTGAGTCAATGGCACCTCCACCGAGGCTGATGGGAGCTCGGTTGACACCTCGAACATCAAGAGATCTCATTTGACCCGGGGTCAACCAGGGTGCCTGGGTTTTGAGCCACAGCCATATATACAAAACACTGTAAAACACGATGTTTTCATAGAAGAGGTAGGTACCGATCAAATAGGTACCCAGGGGGGGGGTTCCATGGGACCTGGAGTTGGAGTGTTTGGCATCTACACTATACCTGCGCAGCAAAAGACCTCCGTCCGAGTCGCTGGTGACGGTTCGTTCGCCACTAGGCTGGTGTCCTATGGGTTGCTGCAGCATACGGCGCCTGAGCCGCAGCAGACGCATGTGCCAGGAGTATCACGGTTTCCGTGCCTCTTTTTTGGGGAGGAGGTGAGGAAAATATGTTTGAACCTTTGCCCTTGAACTCGCACTGGTACTGGCCAATCTCCGCATAATCCAACAAACATGGAAGGGGTCTGGTCGCGGAAGGCTTGGTCCTTTTTTTTTGGGGGGTAGCTTGTGTCATTGATTTCAATCCGTGTTTCGCCAAAGCAAACTGCCCTCCCCACGATGTGGCGAGGAGCCGACCGGTCTGCGGAGCGCCGACCGGTCTGCGGAGCGCCGGGTCGACCTGCGGCACGAAGCCGACCTGGTGGGTCTTCCGGCTTGGAACCATCACTTTTTGATACTTTTTGCAAGAGATGTCGATGTCGGCGGTTTCCAACATGCCTGGGTGACCCAGGAACCCGTGACCATGACTGGAACCGCCCCCCCACCACGGGCGAGGAAGGCACTGCAGGCACGTGTCCATGGACGGGTGACCCACCATGACCTGCTCCGAAAGATCCTTCCTCCGCTGCACCTTCCATCCACGGCACCCTCTCGCACCCTCTTGCAGGAGCTCCACTGGACTCGAAGGCAGGAGATGACTCGATGGGATCACCGAGGGAGTCGAAATACACAAGACCCAGACACGACTAGTGGGACTGCCATAGGACTGCCGCCCGACCCCAAAAACCACCCCAAGTGATCGGCATATATGGCAGTCCCATGGAGTGTCTGGAGGTAGTGAATATATATAATATATATATAGGTTGGGTCTATCGGCTCTTACCTGTAACAGTCAGTACACAAGAACATCACTTTTGGACAAGGCCTGCAACCTAACCATAATAGGATAGACCCTATGTTGTCTTCTGGGCACCGAGGGCTTTGTTTTTGTCTGGATAGTTCCTCGCTTTTTCTCGGAGGGTGTATCACTAGGTGGGGAGGTTCTTCACCATGACTCTATAGGTGACAGGAAGGCATCGGAATCTGAACGTTGGTATTTTCGAAGATCCAACCAATTGCTCTTGGCTCTTGGGGTGCTGGATGGTGCTGGGTATGTGGGCGACCCATTTTTTTTACAGCGCGCTGAAAAAGCAGAAGAGAGATTCGCTTAGGGCCCGGATCCGTTTCAATGATCTCTTTTTGGGGTCGGAGGCGCCCCTAGGTTAGGCTCTGCCCCCTGGGATGGGTGAATTTCCCTTCAATTGTACGGTGGCTTAGTGTGATGGATTCGTTTTGAGCTTCTGAGCTGCTGCTGCCGCCGCGGCTGCTGCTGTTGGTTTGTTGCTTTGCTTTAGCTCGACCATTCGTCCACCCCTCTCTTCTGTGGGGATTGGTCCTCAACATCCACATTTCAATTCCTGCATGGCCTACAAAGGGCATCCTTGTGGAGGCTGAAAAGCAGCCCTTTGTAGAAGACACATCATTCTCCTGGGCCCTAGATGTTCCACTGAGGGTGTCAAGGAGGGAAGATCTTCCTCGGTTTCTTCGCTGTCGAAGGGGCAAAATCCCAGACAAATGGGACTGGAATAGAGTTACCTACGTTTACCATCATTCAACCCAATTGATGACCCCAATGTAGGTAACTATTAATTCCAATCCCATTTGTCTGGTCTGGGAAAAGAAACACATCCAAATCATGCAGCTTTTCTCTAGAACGACCATCACGGAGGCCGTTGGGCCTTTCATGTCATCTCAGGAGGAGGGTGAAGTGCTGCTGCGCAGTGCCGAAGTGCAGCTGCGTCGCTTGCGAAGACCGAGAGATGCCGCCGCCGATGCCCGACTCGTGCGACTGTCCTGGTGGACTCGACAGATCCCCCTAGGTTTGGAGGAAAAGAACAAGGGACGCAGATCCCCTGACCATCCATCTTCTTATAAGCTTAATTTTTCGTTCGGTCACTGGAAAGGACTTCCAGTTGTTGAGTCATTGCGGGAAGGTAAGGACGCAGATCGCGAGTACTTGCTAACACTTGCTATGAGTGCATATATGGATAGTGAATACTGATACTTGCCGGATAAATCATGTGTTCACCTGTTCAGCTATGGTACGTCCCGATCTGATACTCAAGACCAATGGGCATTCGGAAGACTATGAGTCTATGAGGAGTTCGTGACTGCAGCACCAGCTTTTGCCACTATGACGTCTATGAGTCTATGGTTTCAAGAAACCCTGTTCACCCGACACATCCGGGTCAAAGGATTTGCGAACAACTGGACTGGATCAGTCGGATCGTGTGACAAGAGCCCAGAAGACGTCGGTTTTTTTTTTTTGTTGTACAGATCGGCGGCCTTGTTTTTTTTTCTGTCCGACAAACCATCGTGTGGTGTTTTTCTCCTTGTTGGGATTCTCTGGGCACTCACTCCGTTCCACGTCCATCTGGGCGTGTTTTTTGGGCCTGGGCCGGCGGGAATCCAGGATGTTGGTGGTCGAATCCAGAAGGCGTCAAGAACCTGGACAGAGCAGCACTGGTGGACTCGACCTCCTGCGGTTGGAACGTGGAATTCCAGGACTTCACTCGAGCACCAGCTGACCAAGAAGGACATCACCCTGACTTGGTGACACGAGTTTATATGTGGAATTTCCTGAACACGACTCGGTGGTGTCAAAGAAAACACACTGCTTGGGTTCATCTGGACTGTACTGCTGCGTTGGGACCCTTGTCGTGTGTTGGGACCCCTACCGACCTCCTCTGCACCCGGACCACGACGGTGATACGATGGTGTACGTCCCCCGTGGTGCGACCGCAGCGTTACGAACCCCCCAAAGTGTCCGCGTCCAAGTTGGGCTCCTTTCGGGTCGCTCGCTTTTCGTTCTTTTTCCCGCTCCAACCGTAACACGGTGGGACACGGGATGTTCCCCGTCGTCGTCGCTTCGGGGGCTTCGTCGTCGCCACGTCGTTCCGGCGGGCTTCGTGCTCGACGGTCCCGCTCGCGAGGCACGGCGCTGCTGGAAGACTCGGGAAGTCTGAAGGTGCTGGGCCTGATGTTGCTCTCGCCCTGGCCGCGTCTCGGTTTTAGTTAGCTAGCTATAGTTCGCTTGTTTCTTTCTTTCTTTGTGGTGTTTGTTTGTTTGTTTGTTTGTTTGCTTGCTTGCTTGTTTGTTTGTTTGTTTGTTTGTTTGTTTGTCACTTATTGTTTTTGTTTGGGTGGGTGGGTGGCACAAGGGACGGATTATTGTTATAGTCAGTCAGTGTATACTTATTTTTCTGGGGGGCTTACGATCACCTCTTAAAGCTCGCAAAGAGAACAAGAAAGGGATTATATATATGATCCAAAACTGAACAGCCAAAGCAATCTGACATGTTGCAGATCAGTGAACCGACTGTCGCTCAGGCGGATCGAATAATTACCCAGCAACAGTTGTAGCAAGCTGGGTCATGACACCCCGCCAGCCCTGGCGCAGCCCTGCAGGCCTAGCCCATGGTCGACCACGCTGAATACACGAATCCATATGAGATGACAACCATCCGGGCCCCTATCCCAATGGAAAGGGCTTTGGTTCGGGGTCCTTCTCCCCCTGCGTTTCAATGATCCCCTGCCATAGAGGGCCCATTGACCACAGTATACCGATTTCAAGTGCCTCCTGTGTGCCGCTGCGCTCCTGGGTCGCAGACAGGTGAGGAGGCGTAGCACCCGAGACCAGCCTCAAAGCACCAGTGTCAACGGTTGAAGGACTCGACTCTTTGACTATCTCAATTGGGTGGCCCTGGCGGTCTCCCCAGGTCTCCTGGCGGTCACGTACCTGGCTCCCGTTCCACGACTCTGGTGGCTCTTGTGCTCCCGAGGATCCCTGAAGTCTTGGATCTCTTGAGCATGCCGGGTCGTGTGAACCTGACGGCGCGGCGGAACGGAAGGGGGGGGGCGGCCTTCGGAGGGGTGGAAGGTCGGGTGGCGGGCCGCGTTCGGAACGTTCGGTCGCGCAGGGTCCCGGCTCCGGTGCGGCGCAGGTCAAGAGCGAATGAAAGAGGGCAAGGTCTTGGAAAGGTCATGATGTACAACTTCCACCATATGGCAGCTTCATTCATCAGCAAGCAAACCATCCGGGATTCGCCCATTCACCTTGCTCAATATTCATCTTTTGAACGTTCCTACTACCTGTGGTGACCAACGTAGTGAAAAGAATTCTTTAAGCAACTGTATGTAGAGCTGGTATAACTGGAAAGGCATTCAGGCATACAACTTTCCTGTTTGCTTGGGTTTCATACCCCGAGTCGTATATGCTTTCAGAGAAAGCATTGTCAGAAGCTTTGTTTGGCAATTCCCGCAGTATAAGCTTTAGTTGTGCTAGTTACTTTCTGATGACCGAGCGCGTCCACACAATGGGCACAGCCTTCCATTTTTGGGATAGCAATGATATCAGGCCTCCCGGCGCCTCAGTGGGGTGTGCTTGAGACACCTGGATTCATGCAAACAGGACACCCACGAACCACCAACTTCCCGGCAGATCAGCTCTCACCCAGTACGGTGCATGGCGCTGTGGCCGGGATGGGTCGTGACCCACCTGGAAACCACCAGAGCCCACTAAGGCCCACCAAATGTAGCCAACGCCCAAGGTCGGTCGTGCCCGAGTCCTTTGCGGGTCTCCGACCGGCTTGGTGAAGAACCACCCCCCCCACCCCACGCGGGCCGACGCCCGACGCCCGACTGCCCGCAACGGTTCGGAGCGACGGTTCGGAGGTTCAAGAGGCCATGCTGGAGTTGCTCAACCTCACCCAGGCCCCGCGCATCATCGCAGCCATCGCGTCACCTGGGCGGAGGGGCCCGCCGGACGTCTTCCGGAGCCTTCGACCTCGGCTGCCGGCGGAACCAATTCGGTGCGAGAACAGCAACTCTTCTGCGGGACCTCGGAGCGTTCTTGCCAGGTGTTTGTGGGTGGTTTGGGATGTGTTTCATCCGAGCCTGGTGGGGATCCATATATGACCCCAAATGAGCATGAAGAGACCATGGTCGGATTTTTGAATCATCCGCAGCGATGGTACTCGATGAGGGTTTTCAGGTTGATCTCACTACTCCAAGACGAGCAAACTGTTTGGAACTTTCGAAGCACCCTGCTACAGTAGCACCCTCCTACATGGTGGCAGCAACCGACCGCAGCCTCTCCGAAGACCGGCTGTTTGGAAGAAGAGGGGAAGGGGGGAAGGGCGATCAAGAGAAGAAACATGGCAACCACGTACAGACCACGGATGCTGAGTGCAGACGGTGTGTTTGTATGAAAACAGGACCTCGGACCGAACCCGGCATGGCGTTTCGATCCCCTGGGAGGTTCAGAATATAGACCAGTGTACCCATGGGTTGCGGGTCTCCCTAGCTTATAAGAACTGAAAACAGAGAGAGGGAACCCTTTATCTGAAAGTGTGAAAAATGAGTGGCAGTTCCAACTACCCTCAAGCTTTACTTGCAGTCAGATGCACGCTCAGTGGCAGGATCTTATAAGTTTCGACTTTTGTGGAGATTGGAGTTGTGTCATCTCTGAAATCAGTGGTATTTGAACTGATTTTTGCATATGACATCATATGACTGTGATGTAACATGAAATAGCGAACACACCAACCAAAAGCCACGAAAACAGAAAACACACCGGACTCTCCTCCTCTGCAGGGCCACCCTCTCTGGGATGCCGCGGTGGCCAACCCCGTCAGCGGCCGCGCGGTCCTCAGAGTTCTTCGTCGCAGTCCCCGGTGTTCGGTGTTCGGGGCGGTCGACGGTGACCAGGCAACGGTCGACGGTTCTGCGCAGCCTTCGGTTGGAAAGATGGACATGTTTTTTCAAGATCCTCTCACCCAGTGGGAGAAAGACTATAAAGCTCTTGATCAAGCTCATGTTGTCCGGGCAGGTGGGGACTTCCCAGTTGATGTCCAACGCCGCGTATGACGAAAGAAGAGCAAGCCCGCTGGAACGATGCCTTCCATCCACCGCGTGTGTGTTTGCGTCTGGTTGACTACTGATAAGTAAAAACCAGAAAGGAAGTGGTTGGGATATAACCATCAGTATGGTTGATTATATCTGGTATTATATCACAAGTGGTTGATTATATCTCGTTGGGATATAGGTGATCATGATATAATCTCTTTGGACTCCTTGTGCTAAAGGCACCGAGGGAGGGACTGAAGCACCAGGGTCCTCTCAAAGCACCAGACCGGCAACGCGTGCCACGTGGGCCACGCTCGGTGTCCCCGCCAACTGCACTGAGGGAACCACAGTCCGACAGCCCGTTGAGCCGAGTGAGATGGGTTCACCACTTCATGGGAGACGTGGGCAGAGAGACTGACGCACTGGAACGCCCCTCACCATGGAAAGCAGATGTTGCACATGGCCAAGGCTATAGCTTCAGGGTCAACCCCTACCGCGAGATGGTGAGCGACATGGTTCGCCACATGGTATTGCGAGATGGGAGGGATCGCGGGTTGGTGGACTTTCAGGTGGCAGGAGGTGGCAGGAGGTCAAGAGAAGGGGTCAATCAATGACGAAAGATTGAGAACGTCCATGGAGATATACCATCCAATCCCACCAGACCATCCATGGGACTGGACAATATATACATTCACCCCTTTTCAACCACCCCATTGTAGATAGCACATTTACTCCATTTATGACCCTAAGGTAACTATATATATTTCATACATGGTTGGTCTGGGAAGCCATTTTTTGATTCCCTTGCGTGGACCAAAAGCTAGTATAGATTGTATAGGTCTCTAAAGAGTGAATACCCTGGGAGCCAATGATTATAGACCGAGTTACTGTATCTGACTTGGGCATTTGAAAGGGAAACATCCTTTGCTCCACTAAGGCTTCGCTAAAGAAGAGTATAGTTGAACTGAACTTCTAGACCGGTCGCCCACGTCCCACCGGTCGCTCACGTGCCCCCGTTGAATCCGTTTCACCTTTTTCTTCAGCTCACGTTCCACCTGCACCCCCTCGCAAAAACACAGCAAACACGTCTGACCTTTTCGCCCTGTTTACGTCTTTTCCTCCCGTTGGAACTTCATCTTCTTCCTGTTTCAACTTCCAGAGATCTCTTTTCTCGACCCGCCTCCTCCCCCCCTCCGCGCCTCCCCCCACCGCTCCCATGTCGTCCGACCGGTGCGGCGCTCTCAGGCTACACCCGGCTGCCCTTCTGCGGGCTGCGGCCTTTCATGCGCATGGTCGCCTCGATCGCGCAGGCGCGGGTCCTAGTCCTGCGCCGGGCGGAGGACCGGTTGGAGGTGACCGGTGACCGGTTGGAGTTTGGGAGGAGAGAGAAGACCTGGTGATGCGTTGGTTGAGGCGTTTTGGAGTTTGGGGAGGTTGTTTGAGATGGGGCGGTTGTTCTGGAGATGGGGTGAGGGAGGGGGAGATGGGCAGAAGGAGTGTGGTTCTCTTGGTAGATCTATCTTTCGAACATTTAGGAGCATCAGTAGAAACAGTCTGTTAAGATGTTCTTTGTGGGTTTGAGTAGAGAGATGATATGAACATGGAGGTTTCTGGCCTGTTCCAATTGGGTGTTCACTAACCACAACCACAACCAGATGATAAAAGAGGATAAAAGAGGACTATGAACATCCTTTGATTATCTTGGGTGCCTCTTTGGTAGATTTGTTGTTTACTCTTCCTTTTTCTCTGTCAGGTTTTGGCTCCAGCCCCTCCACAGCCGTGCTATTCCGCAACTGCGACCATCCATGGCGCGCGCTTCGAATCTCCTCGTCTCGGCCGTGCTCTTCGCCGGGGCCTTCACTGTGTCCCGCTGGGCGTTCGTCGCGCCCAATGTGAACACCCAAGGGTTGCGACAGAGCTCTACGGCCTTGGCAGCCCGTGGTGGTGGGGAGTACGACATCAGTGATGCGGACATCCAGAACTTCTACAATTCACTGTTGATTCTTAGGCTAATGTCAGCCTCTGAATCCCTCCCCCCTCCCCTTGATCAAGTGCAGACCCTAGATAAGAAGCCAGAAAAATACAAGAAAAACATCTTGATCTGAAGTTGAAAGAACTGGAACATGAAAGGAAAGAAACGGAAATGAAAGAAACAAATAATTGAAAGGAAAGAAAAGAAAAGGAAATGAAAGGAACAAAGAATTGAAAGGAAAGAAACGGACATGAATGGACACTGAAAGGAAAGGAAAGGAAAGGAAAAGAGACGTAACAGAACCGGAGATGAAAGGAAAATGAATGGAAATGAAAGGAACATGAAAGGAAAGAAAAGGACATGAAACAAAAACAACAAGAAAGGGATGTGAAGGGAAAAGAAAAGGAACGAAAAGGACATGAAAGGAAAACGAAAGGTCTGGAGTAATTGAAGGTTTGGGCTGCTTGTGAGGGGTAGTCTTTACGGGTTGATTTCAGGTTCCAAGTGGCAATGCCCAAATAAGACAAATTGAAAGCACAATGCAGCACCAAAGTCAAAATCCAGACACATTTGAAATGAAAAGGTTTGAGGAGCTGAAAATCCGGAATCAATGTTTGAACAAACTAGCACAATTTGGGGTCCCTTTATCATGGGTTTTGGAAAAACAATAGCATGATTCACGGTCCATTTATAACTCTGGGGTCAACATTAATTGTTGTATGCATGGTTCTATTGTTGTCTGCACGACCTAAGGTGCTCCCAACACCAGAAGTGCCGTGGTATTGCTTCTCTCAAGTGGTGCAGGTTTTCTTCCATTCACAGCGAACTGTGTCAGGATGTCAACTGAATCAATTGGCTTAAGCACTGAGGACTGGCGCTGGTGGTGACCCTCCCAAGGGCACCGTGCTCTCGGAGTTGGTGGTGAAGTTCTTCCACGGTGACTTCACACCGCAGGGCTTCAAGCGCTACAGCGGCCTCTGGAGCGGGGTGACGTGTGGGTGGGACTGCGGTTGAAGCACGAGTGCGCTGCGCACACGTTGGGTTCCAATTTGGCTTGTGAACTCTCATCAAGTCACGAAAGGTAGCTTGAGCTACCTGAGTTCTCCTTGCTTTAGCAAAAATGTATTACAATCAGGAGTTGGGATTGTGCATTGAATTTGGTCCTGTAAGAGTTGATTCTGTTCGTC